TCAAATGGGAATTCTGCTTTTTAGTGTTTTGTGAAAACTTGATGCAGTTTTTTGTAATGACACTACTAATTTACATTACCACCAACAGTGTAAAAGTTTTCTCTGTAGCCCACATACTCATCAACATTTGTAGTCTCCACCTTTTTGATAATAGTGGTTCAGACAGATTTGAGATGATACATCCTTGTGAATTTTAATCTACATTTTTTATGACAATTAATGTTAAACATTTTTCTTGTATCTTTTGACTTTTTGCATGTCTGTCTTTGAGAAATATCTTTTCAGGTCCTTTGCCCATTTAAAAAAAATTATTATTGATTTGTATGAGTTCTCTTCACACTGTTGTTTTCTTTGCTGTGCAGAAGCTTTTTAAAAGTTTAATGTAATTCCTTTTGACAGTTTTTGCTTTTGCTGCCTGTACTTTTGGGGTCAAATCCAAAATACTGCCCAGGCAAATATCAAGAAGCTTTTTTCCCCTTTGTTTTCTGCCAGTGGTTTTTACAGTTTCTGTTTTTATGCTTATGTTTTTAATTCATTTCAAGCTGATTTTTGTATGTAGTGTGAGATAAAGGATTCAGTTTTATTTTTCTGCATATCTATCCAATTTTCTCAACACCTTTTATTGAAGAAACTGTCCTTTTCCAACATTGTGTACTCTTGGCACTTTTGTAAAAAAAAAAAACCTAATTGTACATGTGTGGTTCATTTCTGGGTTATTTTGTCACATTTATCATTGTGTCAGGTTTTTTTTTTTTTTGGGGGGGGGGTAATACCATTGCTGTTTTACTATAACTGCAATAGAACTTGAAATCAGATAGTATGGTGCCTCCAGCTTTGTTCTTTTTGCTGTGTTATTTGAGGTATTTTGTGACAGTCATTCTTTGTTATGTAGAACTCAAATTTCTTAGATCGTTTTCCTTCTCCCTGAAGAGCATTAAAATATTTTTTATTGTTGTAACATAATCATATATATTAGTGGGATTCATTATGCTGTATTCATACATGCACATAGAATAATTTGATCAGTCTCATTCCCAAATACCTCCACGTTTCCTTTCCTTCTCCCTCTCCCTGATCTGCTTACTCTACTAATCTTCTATTATTGTTACTATTATAATTTAAATTATATTTATTAGTGCATTATAATGATATAAAAGCAGAGTTCATTGTGATATATTCATGTGTGGACATAGCATAATTTAATAGATTTCATTCCCCAGTGCTTCCCCATGTTCTCCCCTCTTCCCTTCCTCTCAATCCCCTTAATTAAGACCTATTTTTAAAACATTTCTCCTGAGCAGGTCAGCAGGCAATGAATTCCTTGGTTTTGCTTTTCTGAGAAGTTTTTATTTCTTATTAACTTCTGAACAATAATTTGCTGGATATAGAATTCTAGACTGGTGGTTGTTTTGTTTCTATCATCACTTTACTCTCTTCTTATTTGCAAAGTTTCTTAAGAGAAATTCTCTGAAATTCTTATCCTTGTTATTAAGAAGACATTTTCCCCTTCTTCTCTGGCTTCATTCAAGGTTTTTTTTTTTTTGTCTTTTGTGCATGTGGTATGCCTCCTTTTACAGTTGTTGGTATTTTTCCTACTTCTGAGGTTTGATATGTGGAATTAGGGTCATTTCTTGGCTATTACTTCAAATATTTCATAAGCTTTAGTGTCTCTTCTGTTATTCCAGTTAGGGATATGATGCACGACTTGGAATTGTCCCACTGTTCTTTGAGGTTTTTGCTCTGTTTTATTCATCTTCTTTTTGGATTTGGAAGTTTCTATTAACCTAATTTTGTAAGTTCACTGATGTCCCAGGCTATCTACTAATATGTTCAACAGTGGCATTTTTTATTTCTGTTATAGTAGTTTAGCTATCTAGTATTTCCTTAAGAGTTTCAGTTTTTCTGTTTACATTATCCACCTGTTCTTGCATGTTGTCTGTCTTTCCCATTAGAACTCTTAGCATTTTATTGTAATCATTGTTATTTTAAATCTAGTAATTGCAAAATCTGTGTCATATCAGACTCTAGTTCTGAAGCTTGCTTTTTCTCTTGAAAATGCCTTTTGGAATGCCGTATAATTTCCTACTGAAAGCTGGATAGGATGAACTGAGTGATAAAAAATTGGGTAAACAGATCTTTAGTGTGAGGTTTTATGTTGTTTTGGCCTGGGTTGTGTCATATTGAATGTGTGTTGTAGCTATAGGTGCCAAAGGCATGAAATTCTAGTATTCTTGTTTTTTTTTTTTCCTCTCCCTATCCTTTTTTGATATCTTAGTGAACTCCTTAGTTGAAGTCTATCTTGTAGCTCTTGAGCTGTCGTTGACTGCTGTTACACTGGAACACTGTCAGTAATGTGGCTAATTATGGGGAAGGGAAAGAATTCTGCATTCTCAGTTTTTAGTGGCCTGTGTCATGGAGCTTTTCTCTTTACAACTGTATTTGAGCTTCTCCCACTTAGTGAAACACAATGGCCAGAGGAGACTGGAGTTGGAAACTTTCCTTCTCCTAGGGAACATAAGACTCTGGAAATATCTCACAATGGTTACTTTCTCTCTCTCCCCGTTCAGAGCCATGAGGGAATTTTTCTTGGCTCTTCCCCAAGTTTCTGGAGGTAAGACGCATGGAGGTGTGGGGGTAACCCTAAGACTATGTGCCCCTAGTATATTCCACTGAAGCTTGACCACTATTGCTAGCAATTTGTTAAAACTGCTAACAAAGTTAACATCTAGATATTACCATTTACTGCCTCTAGTAGCTTCTACTCCAGGTAAGCTGATCTTGACAATAACTATCTGAATTCTCCTGTCTCTGTATATTTCAGAATGGTGATTTGCCTTGCAATCTCAGTTCTCTGATGAGTCTAAGAATAAAGTCACTGATTTTCATTGTGCCCAGACTTTTCCTTGTTTAAGGACAGGTGTGATCACTTACCAATTTTTTATATGTTGGAGCTGAAACTGAAAGTCCTAGAATTCCTTTTGTATTTTAATATTTTTGCTTTTCTTAATCTTCTCTGATTTTCACAAAAATGGTGAAGATCAAAACTGGTACTAATTATGATGATAATATCAAAAACAATATAATATTTTTACCTTAAATTGTATTGAGAATGATCAGAGAAGCATTAGGGTTGTTTAGATGGCTAAATCAGTTAATAAGTTTATCCTTCTGTCTTTTTATGAGTCCTGAAAAATTTATAAGGATCACTGAATGGAAAATTTTGGACACATTGATCTGGACTAGGAATTTGCAGACTTTTCCTGTAAAAAGCTAGGTAGGGAATATTTTAGGCCTTTTTGTAGGCTGTACTATCTCTGTTGCAACTAATCAACTCTGCAGTTGTCCACAAAAGCAGCCATTAGTAATGCTTAAACAAATGAGTATGATGATGTTTTAATAAAAGTTTATCTACACATATAGGCTCTGTGCCAGACTCAACCCACAGGCTCTATTTTACCAATCTCTGCCTAAATTTTGGCAAATAGTACAATAGTACTCCCACTCCCAGCCTCACTGAGCCTAAGCCAGTTGCTGGATATTTACCAGCATATTACTGGCCATGACTACTGTATATCCTTGTCTACTTATGTGTCTGATTTTTGCTACAAAACTATGAGGTCCTTAGAGTTTGGAACTTATAACCCTAGCACCGAGCACAATGCGTGGTGTATAGTTGTCAGAGAAATGTTTTTAGTCATTTAGTCCTTGACTCAAATTCTGGCTTGACCCACTTACCTATCTTTATGACATTGGTGTGTAACCTTTGTTTATCAGTAAAATGGGAATGATAATGCCAGCCTCACGTGATTATTGTGAGAATTAATGAAAGACATACATCTGATGCATAGTAAATGCAAAAAGTACTTCACTCTAAGAAGTAGACATAGATGCCATTAGAGTCCAGACTTATGCAGAACTTTGTATTAAGTATTTGACCACAAACTGGATGAGAATCAAGAATGTGGAAGTTATTTTTGTGTATGTATATACTTTTCATTCTTCCCCTGCAAAATAATGGGATAAATTAAGAGAAATATGATATATAAGAGGCAGGAAGCAATCTCTCTGTTATATTTGGCTTTACTCAGACTCTTATTACAGTATCATGTCCAGTTTTACATTGCTCATTTTAAAGAGGATGTCAAAAAACTATATGTAGTATGTCCTGGGAAGAATCAACAACTATGATTAAAGGGACAGAAAATAGGCCCTTTGAGGCAAGTTTAAGGAACTCAGTTTATTTACTCTGGAAAGCAGACGGTAAAGGAGTTACTTAACTATCTTCAAGTATATGAAGGGTTATTATAAGGAAGATACTCTCAAGTTGTTCTCCAAATGCACAGAGGACCAAAAGAGGAAATCGACTTTTCATTTAAAGAAAATTGTGTTAAACACTGAAATGGACTATCAAGGGATGTCATGGAATCTCCATTTTAAAAAATTCTTTAAAAAAATAGCAACAGATGGTTATTCATTAAAAAGCTTAAATGTTTGACCTCAAGAACGTGAGAGACAGGACTGTAGACCTGCAGCCTTTCCTTTTTGTGTGATATGATTTTATTTTATTTTTATTTTTTAAAATATTTATTTTTTAGTTGTAGTTGGACACATTATCTTTATTTCACTTATTTATTTTTTTATGTGGTACTGAGGATTGAACCCAGGGTCCTGCATGTGCGAGGCGAGCACTCCACTGCTGAGCCACAATCCCAGCCCTGATTTTATTTACTATAATTTGCCAAGCATATCTTACAGGAAAATCACTTTTGATAAAATTATACCCTGGGTTGCATTATATTTTAATTACTGGATTTATATTGAAAGAACATTTAGTATTATTTATGTGCTAGGATTTATAATAAAGTCAGTTTATGTATAAAAACTCTACATTTTTATCTTTTATATTCTACTTGATATATCTGAAGCATAATTGAAGAATATTCATAATTAATATTTTTTAAGTAGTACATTACAAATATTCTGTACCTCTTTTGTGACAGGGAATCCTCTTAGTATATGATATTACAAATTATCAAAGCTTTGAGAATTTAGAAGATTGGTATACTGTGGTGAAGAAAGTGAGTGAAGAATCAGAAACTCAGCCGCTGGTTGCTTTGGTGGGCAATAAAAGTAAGTTCTTACTACTTATTTATAGTAAAGTTTGTTTGCTGCTGTAAACTGAATATTTGTGTCCCCCTCCTAATTCATATCTTGAGACTCAAATCCCTAACATAATGGAAATTGGAGGTGGGGCTCTTGGGTGGTTGTTAATAAAGAGAATGGAGCCCTCTTAGATGAAATCAATACCTTTATAGGAACAGAGAGGAGAGAGGTGGTCTTTTTCTGCCATGTGGGGTTATAGCAGGAAGGTGGCCGTCTGTAAACTAGGAAGAGGGCCTTTACCAGATCCTGAGTCAACTGCACCATGGTCTTAGATTTCTCAGTCTCTGAAACTGTGAGAAATAATGTTGGTTGTTTAGGCCATCAGTCTGTGGTATTTTGTTGTAGCCACCTGAACTGAGAACTTACAAAGACATTTGACTTTTTTGGAAGCTGTTTCCAAACTGGAAACAGAGTAGAAAATTCTTAAGAGTGTGTTCAGTCTTTTCAATAACTTTATTTTCATAAATAGTATCTGTTCTTTGAAATTCACAGTATACCATGTAGTGTACATCATATTGTAGTAAACATCTTTTAAATGCGTATTAATCCCCCATTTAGGCATTACAGTGTGGTAATGAATATGTACTGTTTAATAACTATTTTGATCTTTGCTCTCTCATAACTGCTCTGCTGGTTTTGGCCAATTCCTGTGAAGGTAAGTTCAGTCCTGACTCTGTGTGTTTTGGCTTCCTGTGGTCTAAGGAAGCAGCATGGACTATTAAGAACAGCAACACAGCTGTAGAGTTTATGATATTGCATTGCAGCTTCGGCTCTGTCCCTGAAGTTTTGAGATATATTTCGTTAAATAATCTTCTGTTTTAGAGAAGGAAGCAGTGTCTGCATAGAATTTTATATGCATTGTTTCTTGCTCCAATCACTTATGAACTTCCTTTTCAGAATTTTTGTGGTTTGTTCAGTGGTTTTTGTTTTGTAGTTTTTCTTTTTGAGAAAGAGTGCTTTATATTAGGAGAGGAGCAGTCCTTGGTAAAAATTATGGATAGCCATTTTTTGATATCTGTTTCTCAGGCTATGAGATATATCATATAAAATTTTAAAACTAAAATTAGTGCAGGACTGCTATTTGGTTCACAGGAAATGAATCATTGATAAAGGCTTTCAGATATGAAATATTAGATTTGACCTGATATTCTCCAACTTACTTGAAATCAGAAAGAGAGGAAAAATTTCAAATTGTATAGTAGAGGATGTAAGTCAGGAACTGTTTCCTAACTACAAGGATTGTTAACTCAATACCCATATATACTGCCCAGAGAATTACCTTCTCCAAAGGTCTTTGAAAATATAGTAATTTTTTCTCTGTAATTGTTTAGAAAATAGTGTTTCCTGTATAGCCAGATCAAGATTTATACATTGCTGATTGTACACACTGAGATGAGCATTTAATAAATCTAAGTCTTAATTTAAAACCATTGCAAAACAGGCTTGGATGCCATTTCTCTTAAGAGTTAAAAATATATAGTATTCACTAGAAAACAGTATTACATATCACAAAATGGCATGATCTGGATAGAAATTGTACTTTTTGAGTTTTTAAAGGTTATGTCAATGGGGCTGGAGTTGTAGCTCAGCCGTAGAGTGCTTGCCTCATCCATGTGAAGCACTGGGTTTGATTCCTAGTACCACATATAAATAAGAAAATAAAATAAAGATCCATCAACAACTAAAAGATATTAAAAAAAGTATGTCAAATTTTCTCATCTGTTTTATAAATAATTATTTTTAAATGAATCAGTTGCTTTTCAGTTCATTGAAATCTTCCTTTACAAATCTTCAGTTTTGATGATCTTAGGTTCGGTTTCTGGATTCAGCTTTTCATTTTAGGAGATAATTTCTTAACTGTTTATTATGTTACCAACACATTGGCTTATACTATGGTGAAAGTTATGCTTTATTGGGGGTTTCCCATCATTTATGGGAAATTATAAAGGGAGGAGGGGATTCATTTTTGTTTCTTTCAGAATATAATCTAACCACCATCTGAGATAATGGTATAGTGGGGCATAATTATGTACATTGTTACATGTTTATGCTATTTGTGAGGCATCCACCACTGATCCCTGTCAAAGACAGGAAATCAGACTAAATGAGCTATGAACTGGGCTGGTGTTGGCATGCCCAGGTTTTAAGAATAAACATTTATATGTTATTTGGATTTTTTTAAAGAAAATTAATGCAGTATTTTACTTGAGATTTAATAGTATAAAAGTCAGTTTTTTTTCCCCCTTTTGGCTTCGCTCTAACTACTTCCTTACATGTTTTTATAATATTCTCTTTCAGAATGAGATCATAGAGTATGCAGTCACATAGACTGTTATACATGTAAAATGAAGAGATTCTAGATGAACATTTTCCAGGATATTGTTTACTGTATAATCTGTCACTAGCTCAATTTCATGTGATCATGTAATGAAAGATCTTTCTGCAGTTAAGAATATTAGGGGTTTAACTCTGAGCTTCCTCAATATTTTATGATTTCTGTTTTCAAATTGATGTTACATTAGTTATGATATAGTAGTATGTATTCATTTTCTTTTTGGGAATATAATTACATTAAAAAGCAGTAAATTGGGTCTAGTGCTGGGCTCAGTGGTAGAGCACTTGCCAGGCACGTGTGGCCTGGTTTAATCCTTAGCACTGCATAAAATAAAATAAAGGTATTGTGTCTTCTACAACTAAAAATATATTTTTAAAAAACCAAAAAGCAGTAAAATTCACAAAGACTTCACACATTAACTAAAGGAAAAACAAGAGAAATATGATAGACATTTAAAACTAGATTATTCTCAACATTGAAACATAGTCATCTGCTTAAATGTGTTTTTTAACTGTTGTATCCCGTTTTTTGCAACTTAAATAGAAAACAAATATTGAAAAGAAATATATGTAGTCTGTTAAAATATTAACAGCAGTAGTCAGCTTTTAGCCAAAGTTAGTAGAAGGAGTGTGTGTTTGTGTATGTGTGTGTGTATGTGTGTATGTGTGTGTGTGAACTTTTTCCATGTAATGAGCTTATATTTAGTAAGTTATAAGATTATTTGCTTTTTATATCAAATACTAAACTTGAATTGAGGATAGAGGGTAGTCTGATATAAAGATGAATTTTTTAAAAATGAAACATTTAAGTTTTTTTTTATTTTTAAATTTTAGTTTATTATATATGACAGCAGAGTGCATTATAGTTCATATTATACATATAGAGCACAATTTTTCATATCTTTGGTTGTACACAAAGTAGAGTCACACCATTCATGTCTTCATACATGTACTTTGATGTCTATCTCATTTCACCGTCTTTTCTGCCCCCATGCCCCCCCCCCCTTTTCTTCCCTCCCCTTTACCCTATCTAGAGTTCATCTAATCCTCCCCCCACCCCACCAACTACATTATGAATCAGCATCCTTAAATCTTATACATCCTTATATCTTATACTTATAATGAGTTAAAAAAGAAATTCCTGGTAGGTAAATTTCAAAACAAGAAAGAATGTAGCTCATTTGCTTTATTCTGTGCCTGTCACAGAAATTCAGCTGACATTTAGTGATCTTGGCCACTCCATGTAGAGTGAGATGTCTGAAAGGCCACAACTTCAGTTGCATAAGCACCTGTAAACCATTATATTACCATATAAACCATATAAACTTGTGCAAGGAGGCACAAGGCAGGGAGCAGAATCTACCTAATTTCCTGGCTGTGAAAGTCATGCTATTCCAGTTTTGGCTCACTCTCACTTCAACTGCAGAGCCTCTAGGTATTTAATTTATGTCCCCTTAAGGGCTCTTCATGGATGAACTTGGCCATGGCTTAACATACCACTGTCACTGCTCATGTAAACTATTACAGTATTCCCCTAACTAGTCTTCCTGCTCTTAACTTTGTTCTTCTGTGACTCAGTTGTCAAGTGACAAATCAAATTATATGATTCTTTTGCTCAAAACCCTTAGTATTTTCTTATCATACTTCCAGTGAAATCCAGATTCTTTTTTTTTAGAGAGAGAGAGAGAGAGAGAGAGAATTTTAATATTTATTTTTTAGTTTTCGGCGGACACAACATCTTTGTATGTGGTGCTGAGGATGGAACCCGGGCCGCACGCATGCCAGGCAAGCGCGCTACCACTTGAGCCTCATCCCCAGCCCCAAATCCAGATTCTTTATCCAGTTTTGCTGGGTATACATGATCTGGTCCTTCCCTGTCTCCCAGACCTCATTTTCTACATGTTTTCTTGCCCACTGTATGCTGAAGACTCATTATTCTATTTTTTTTCCTGTTTCTAAAACATTCCAAGTTAATCTGTACTAGAATTTCTTCTGCTTGAAATGCTTTTCCCTTGATTTTTGCTAGCTCCATAGGTCATTTCATTTCATTTTAAATGTCATCTTTTTAAAGTTGCCTTCTTTGACCATTCAGTACAGGAGCCCCACAAAATCCTTTATTTCAGGTCATTATGTTTCAATTTTCCATATAGTCTTATTGCCATCTGTCATTATTTCTTGTCTGCCTTTCTCCACTAACAGATTTAAGCTTTATGAAAGCTAAGGACTTCATCACTGAGAACAGTGCCTGAATGAGTGAATACCGAATGAATGGATAAAAGCCTTTTCATGAAGACTCTGTTGAAATTAGAAGTGTTTATGGCCCAGGGTGTGTTATTCGGAGAAAATGTTTTCCTAACGAGGAAAATACATATTTAGATATAGGGAATCTATTAGATGGTCTTCAGACCTAACTGTTCCACTGAATTCCACCCTGATGAATAATGTCAGTGGGATTTCTTAGGAAATACATCCTAGTTGTATTATGTTGGCTAGTGTTTGAAATAAAATGTCAGAAATTTTACATTCTGATTTTAGGATAAATAAATACAAAAAAATTAGGAAATTTGCTTCTTTTTCCTAACTTGTGACTTACATAATAGAAACCTCTACCATTTTTACTTTACATAGTTTTA